TATTAGAACAGTTACCAGACATAATAGATATTTAAAGAAACAAAGAAATTCAGAATAGCTAAGCAAAGCAAGCTGAGTGATTTCTTTAGTAGGAAATGAGACTCAAACTGCTGCTGAACATCAACTTTACTGTACAATTACAAATCTTCAAATAATTTTCATACTACTCATTATTGTGCAATGATCGATTTTTTGTGAAATGATTTTAGTTGACATAATACAATTTAAAATCAACATTTTCATTTGTAATAAAGTGTTTGGATACTGTGCACAGTAGTGTAATAGTGTTTCAAATGGGGTTGCGAGATCCGTTTTAATACATTCAGTGCCTAATTAATATTCATGAATAAATTAGTGAACCTGTATAGAAAGGCCACCTGTCTATAAAGGCCAAAATTTCAAAGTCCCTTGGGTGGCCGCTATAGACAGGTTTGACTGTACTTCTGTTTTTTAGACAGAACTTCTTCTGTCTCATGGGCATCACTCACATTAGTTTTTTAGTTTGACTAAACCCAAAATCAAACAAACAGTTACTCATGGCTGCTGTACACAAATAATGTTTGCGCGTACAAGATTCATTGTATGCTGTCACGCACAAAGTAGTCCGACATCATTGATGTTTCCGCGCTCTATATTATTGACCAATTACAGTCTGCGTAAGAAAACGAAGGACGTTACTACGTTCCACGTAATAAACTCAGTTTCGAGACTACGAATATTAGGACTGTTTTTAGATTAAATTGTTATATGCAGACACCTTTATTATTTTTTATCTATAAAATCAATGGTTCGACAGACTTTTAGTGCTTTTAATCCGGAGGTCCGTCAAAGTAATTTATGAATCCCAGACCTCAGACCACCGTATTCTTCAACCCCTGAAGGTACTTGCATACCAAATTTGTAAACATTCTGATTTGCGGTTTCAAAGAAGAAGTTGAAATTGTAAAGTTGACGACGAGAACGGACAATCAGTAATATGAACAGCTCTGCTGTGTCGACAAAGTCAAAAATATCATAAAAACTATTTCTGTATTTGTCCGATAAGCCACTCATCCAAAATCGTAGCAATGGATGTTTCGGCAGATCTTGTGGTGTACATGTAGATCAAAGTTTCTGAAATGAGCGATAAATGTTCTAATTAGAACATTTTAAAACATTTCAGTTTTTCCTGGCACAAAAAGTACAACACAATGTGAAATTGTGACAAGTGTGAATATGTTTGCCACCACCGAGCATTCTGATTGGTTTACCTATTAGGTAAAATTACGCAGTTTCAACTAATTTATGCATGAAACAAACATGGCAGATATCATTTCACATCGAGTCGTGCATGCGACTAAAAACAGACATTTGCTAATGATGAAAATGAGTGAATTTTACAAATCTACAAACTGATATTTTTACGCTATTATAATTGCGACTGAGTAATAAAATTTTAACAACTCAAAAACAAGTAAACTACTCCCCTGTGAATAGCATGAACAATTTACACAACTGATATTTCCTACTCAACCAAAGCTTCATTTTTTTCACTTTCATTTATCAAAAAAAAAAAAAAAATAACATTTCATATTATTACATTAAAATGTATTTTTGGCTTATCTGAGAATGCAGTCTTTTTTTTTTAATGGAAACATCTCAACTGTTTGTGACACACATTTTAGAACATTCTCACCTGATGAGAACACTGACGCCAATATTTTGATATCTTGCAACCCCTGTTATGACTATTGTATTTAGGCTACCTGTATATTCAATTATTGGTTATAAGATCGCCCTATACAATGTTTTGAAGCCAGAACTTGCCTTGTCCTATAAAACATCACTCTTGCATCACGATAATAATTTTTCAAGAACATGAATTAATAGAATCCAAATGGAAATTATTTTTTCTTGTGTGCAAATTAATAGAATAATTTTTGGTCAGATGAAAATAGATAGATACAGACATAACATTTATCATGATCCAATCTAGTATTGGTAGGTTTATTCAGAAATTCAAAAATTACACAACTGGAAGCTTTGTAGATCAGGCTCAAACAGTTATCCAATCAAAAACAGAGATATTACTTACAGCAAACACAAACAAGATTTGTACAGAAAAACAGCAATGAAATAGATAAGCCCACCAACAGAGAAAGTGTCAATTTTGTTTTGATTATCAAGGATATTGCAACATTATTGTGACTTTACAAAGGAAGTTGTAAAATTTCTTTATGAATCTTATTTACGGTCCTTCAACAGTCTGGGAAAGTGGATAAGGTTATTGCAACATTAATAGGGACTTGTCTGTATGAATCTTGTTTGCACCTGCTGTAATAATATAATTTAATAATAATTAAAAATACACATTTTTCTATTACTATATATGAAGCAAGAATAATGAGTGTAATTGTGGATAAGAATACTTGTCATTTTTTCATTTGTTTATAATATAAATTCTCCTACAGATTTGATAATAATTTTCTATTTAATGGGAAATATTACTTGACAATAATTAATGAAGTGATAGATATTTGGGACATACATCTAATCTTCTATTTCTTGAAGTGAACATTGACATCAATTTATTGGATTAGTATGCCTTCTCTTTTCAATGGCTAGATTAAGAATGCTTGTTTTAAACTTTGAATTCTTTGTTTTGGATTCAGGCCAAGTTTTTGAAAATGAATGAAAAAGAACAAAAATTTACACATGGTGGATCAATCGTCATATATATTACAGTTCCTAAAGAAGAAAATAGTTCACCCTACGAACAAAGATGTCATAGGTATAACACTGTCACAAAGACTAAATATTGACTTAAGAAAAGATATAGCTGCACACCACAGCTATGAAGTAAACACTTTAACAGTTCAAAGGTCCCCAATTGGACATTTTACTTGCAGTATTTACTAAAGTAAACTTCGGTGTGTTCAGTACATTAGACCAGTGTACAGTGACGAGGGAGTTTACTCAGTCAATTATTTCGTACCAGGAAGATAAAACTTCGAGTCAAAATTGGACAAGTTGGTCACAAGTAAAACAAATGAAAACAAACTGAGCGATAGTACACAGTCATGTTAGATAGGAGATATCAGCTGAGAAAAACAGGTGAAAATCCATGACTAAAAACGCGATCATCGTCACGCCTGACGAGGACCGGTTGAGTCGTGGAACCACAATGCCGGAAAGACGCGGGAAAATAATCCCATTTGAACCGTCGAACGCGAATCTCTTTGTCTCTGTAATCACGCCAAACAAGAGATAGGACAACAACAGTAGAAACAAATGAATTAAACTTAAATTATATGTTCGTGTAATTGCGTAATCAGATTAACTCAATGTTGTTAAAATCACGATTAATTACCGGTAGGTCAAACGAAGATAAGGAGTAACGCCCGTATAGTGACAACGATATGCGACATCACGGTCATGAAAACATCATCGGCTGTAAGCATAAACAATTTAGATAGTGAACGTCAACTTACCATCAAACTTGCGAGAAAGGATAACATATCGCACAAGGAGCTCATGGTATGATTGTTGTTTTTTTATGATGACATGAAAACGGAAATACTTCGAGGAATGATGGTTGGTAGTGCTGTTGCCCAAGATGACTGGCGGGTGCTGGTGACGTTTACACAGTATGACCTTTTGACCTAAATTTACATAACATTGCCACAATCTGGCCAATCACATGTACGACTGACTGAGTTGGAAAACGATAAAATCATGAATTAAATTATGATACACATACAGCGACAACTTCATTTGGAACACAAATTACTAAGTATTCCAGCGAATACAATAAAGGGATGGACCATCAGATTTTGGGAGGGGTTGTTCATTACTGAAAAAAGTAACATGACTGAAAACGTATGAAAAAAAAGGTTTAGTAAATGCAGCATGAAAAATAATTTAGAAAGATACGTTCAAACTAAGTTCAATCCATGAATTTGCTATATTTAATTTTTCGCATAATTCTGTATAAACAGTGTATTTCATACAGCCAACTCATGTTGAACACTGCAGTACGAAGATTGTTGTAATGGTGGATGGTACCTAAATGGTATAAGCCAACTCATCATAATTTATGATAAATTATTGACGATCTGCTCTACTGGGATTGTCATTTATAATAATGGTAATAATACTTTATTGACATCATTCTGTTTGAAGAGAACATACAGCTAAGTGCTAAACTAATAATTAAAATTAAAAAAGGAAGAAATAAATATGTAGTTTAAATAAATACATATTTAAAATTAGGAAATATTGATATATATATTTAAAATGCACCACATTTTCTAATATAGTTCGCAAGTTCCTTATCTACATTGCTCATAATGTATATGAACTTGTCATCTGGTTTCATCAATGTAAAATATGGATGTATATAAGCAATTTTTTCCAAACAGCTTACATCTTGCATTTTTATGACTTGGACAATCAATCAGGAAATGGAATTCATCCTCCACTGCATCCGTATCACACTTTTTTCATACCCTTTCTTCAAACTTTATTTTTTGTCTAACATGCCTACTCTTCTCTATCATTAGACCATGGTCACTTATCCTGAATTTACAGATACTTTTTCTATAGTGGGGGTCTTTAATTCGTGTTAAATACTGTTCCATTTTGAATTCATTTTTGAATTTTACAAGTTCTTAATTTATTATTTTCACCTGATGATGATTTTTTTGAGG